ATTTAAACCAAAACTGTTGCACCAGATGCTATAGAATTGTAACTAAACGAGCAGACAATATTGCCTTTGCCATGTTAAACTGCAGTGGATCCTATTAACTCATGTGCTCATAGGATTCTGTTTTACCAACAGGAGTCACATAATCAGGTGTCTTGCAAGAGATGAAATGTCAGAGCCGGTTGGGGCAGATGAGACTTTAAAACCGCCTTTATTCTTCATTATCTCAGCTGATCTGGTAAACACTGAGCATCACTTAACGGGGTAAGGACACAAACAGTGCTCGTTTCATCAGCTGAGGATGAATCAGCAGTATCTTAACAACATCCCTTCAGCTATCTGTATCACGGACCTCGAGCAGTAGTGTCGTGCAGAAGCCCGGAAAATGTAACATTGCATGGATTTCCCCATGACGTCTGCTTTGTACACGATATTCTGTGGAAAATATGGGCATCGATGTGACGAACGGCCAACGGAAGGCTAAAGTTTCTTTTTTTGTTTTGTTTTTTTCCTTTTTGAACCGCCTTGTGACATGGCAAGGTTTGGGATCTGCTGCCCTCCGGTGGATGCCTGGAGATGTCCTCTCTGCCAGCAGGAGCACCGCGTTTGACACCACGAGAATTCTCAAAAAGCATGACAGAAAAAAGGAATAAAGTGTTAAGTTCTTCGTGCGTCTTATTCAGGATAAAAAATAATAGCTGGGACTCATTTCTTAGTTTTCCTATTTTGTTCTGGTTTTGTCAGAGTATTTCTACATCCAAGTAGAGGTGTTCTAGTTCGTTCTATGACACTGGTTCTCTTCAATCAGCTTTCACCCTTTCATTTTATACGAATATTTATAATGATTACATATATAACACAGCACATACAGTAATGATATCCAAGTAGCAGATGTATCTATCGCAGTTGATAATATCTGCATTCTGCCTGCTAATCCATCTCTTTGTGATTATTTCCGATACTAGACCTCTTTCTAGCATCAACATTTAAAAAAAACCAATGAGGACTAGCTATAGAAAGTGTTTTCTTATTATCTTGTACAGTTCTTTTTAAAATATTTACCTGTATTACTGAACATTTTAGAACAAGAAATGCACTTGACACATAATGTCATTTCAGGCCCCTGTAAAAATCTGATTTGTGAGGTTCTTTCAGCTCTGCAGTGATGATCATCTTAACATCTACTGGATGTTAAGATCACAATGTTACTTAGCATACAAAATCAATCAGTTTACAACCTTGCTCTTTCTTAAAGCTCTGTACACTGATGTTGATATTAAGGCAAACCGGTTTTGTAAAGATTTACAAAAGCAGCAAAAATAGGTTGCAAAGACATTTTAAATATATATATATATTTTCTAACTGAATAGTCAAATTTAGTGATGATGAGGTGCTGATTAAAGGGAACTTTTTCATTTATGAATGGAGTAAGTCTCTGTCCTGGTCGTGAAGGGAACCTTAGAAATGCAAATCCCGTGACTTTGTGGAATACCTTAAGAAACCTGGAAAACCCCATTCTTTTCCTGATGAGGGGTTAACTTAGGTATGAGATGATTGTTAACGATTTTGACACTTCATTCCTTCCAGAAAGACAGACCTAAGAAGGTAACTAGTTAGCCCAGTTTACACTGAGCGCAAATTTTTATGTTGCTCGAGAGATGCTACATATATGTGTGCGTGTAGCTCCATATCAAGAAATATTTGAGCACGAAGAGATCAGAAAAATCTTAATCCAGGTTCTGACAAGAAATCCGCCAGAACCTGGAAATCAGGAGACGTTTCTAAAACGTTCAGCCAAGCTGCTGTGCCTTACTCTGCGAGCAGACCGCCCACCCAGCAGCAGCCCTTCACCCGCATGGTGTACCGGCGAGACTTTTGCTCGGTGCCACCTCAGTCGCCAGCCTCGGTACGACGACTAACGTTGCGCTTTGGCGCATCACCTCCGCCTCGGGGGTGAGGCCCGACGGGCCCGTGGCAGGGCGCGCTGCCTTCCCCGCTGCGTTTTCCAGGCCGTGCCCACCGGTGCCATCGCCCGCGTCCCGCTCCTCGCTCCCCCGTCTAGTCTAAATCTACCGCGAGAAGGCGCCCGCGGGAAACCCGCCACGGAGAGCCCCCTCCCGCTCCGGACGCG